GCCAGTCTTAATTTGTTTAGCTAGGAGCATTTGCCGAAAAAACCGGTGCCGGTAGCAACAAAACTGGAGGAACCATGCAAAAAACGCATCTTCGCACGGGCAAGCCGTGCGTTGGCCAATTATTTATTACTGCACTAAAATTTGTCCTACTATGTACTCAGTCTAGTTCTGATCGGAAATATATTGAGTTTTTTTTTTTTTTTTTAATTTACAAAACAGTATGTGCTAGAGCTGAAAACCATGAATCTTGAGTACCATGAGCACCAGACTTTTGATTAAGTAGGAAGTACTGCCCAGTGGCATCGATGAATCGAAGGAACTTTAGCGCTGAACAGTGACAGATGAGCATTTTATAATAGCACAACTTCAGCTGCACAGACAGTGATATAAGCACTTCAGCAGGGCACGACAAAATAATGTTCATTGAGAGTCTAATGACAAGAAGTGACGATTGCGATGAAATCGCATCTCTCAATCTTTAAATTATGGGTACTACGAGTCCAAGCAGCATTCTTACCATAAATTAGATTCTTAGCGTTTAAACCATAAGTGTCACGGATTGAGTTTTCAACCAGTTTGGGTACCACAGATTCGATATAAAAATATATTTCGCTCTTAGATGAATCGCTTATCAGAGACATGCCCAAATGGTTATATTTTTTGCAGATTTGGATTTTTCATAATTTCATCCTTTTTTCGAATTTTTTATTTTGCTAATAAAAAGTAATAGTCAGTGATTGTTCAGATGGGTTGGATTTCGAAAATTCACAAGTCTCGGTTATGCAGTTCTGTTGATCGATGGTCGTGGCTCATCAAATCGCGGCCTCTCTTTCGAAGCGGCCATCAAAAATAGGCTGGTAAGTGGCGAATGTTTACGAAAACTAGTATTATCAGCATGCCTAGCGATGGAAACGCATTCATATTCAGAACTACGCTGTTATCAGACGTTAATAAAACGAAACTCGTGAGATTCATATAGAAGAAAAGCAGCGTGTATGAAATAGTGTTTCAGGACATCTTTTTGCCATAGCAGTACTGAATTCAGTTATAACGTAAATCGTTTTGTACAGTTAAAAAGGGTCTTGATACCGCATATAGACGTGTCGATGGTCGAAGGAACCAATGTGGGAACCAATTCATACCAGTATTGGTGATTCGTCGACTACCCATCCTGTTCAATGTCAATGTCTCAAACAATAAAGTATCTTTCGTTTCTGGCTCAGTCTAGTACCCACATTGGTTCCTTCGATCATCGACACGTTCATACGCGGTACCAGAATCAGTACCTTCTTTTAACTGTACGTTATATCTTAGGTGGGCTTCTTTTTGGCGCGTCAGAGAATTAGTTCGCATTCACAGCTTGTCTCGTAAGCAAGTTCCTGAAGATGGAGCCATCGAGAGCCTTGCTAACGGGTAATTGCTGACCATGGGTTATCCAAGCTGTCCTTTTGTGCTTTTTCCCAAAAAAAAGTCAGAACTTATTCCTAAATTCATTATAGGAAGCGAAGAAATTTGAAAGTAGCCCGAGTATTAGCATATGCTAATAACAATCACCAACCGACAAGGATGTAGGTGTCGTTCTCCTCTGAGGATTTCTTAGAAGCAGATTTCTTTACTACATTTCAACTCTACTACCTCTCTCTTCCTTTCATTACAAAAATCACAGCACCTATTTTTCTTATTCAAGTTTTTGACCCATCTTTATTCTTAGGCTCTTATTGATCTACGGTTTTTCATTTACGGTTCGACTTACTTCTCCGCGTTATACATTTAAACCAATTTCTTCTTCTACACCTTTTCGGCCCTCCACTGGCAGTTAACTAACTATTCCTAGAAGCAAATAATTGTGCCTCTTTTATGAGAGAATATGAAATAGGAAGGATTTTGACTTTAGCTTCTGCCTTGCCGCGGCAGTTTTTCTCTGATGTAAATCATAAATCTGACATTTTTTGTTTTCATTTTCAGCTTGAAAACAAAAGACCTTAATTTCTACAGAAATCGATTTTTTGAAAAGTTTTGTTACATTTCCAGGGTACAGTGGAAATTGAGGATCAGGTGGAGGGCTTGAGAGAAGTAGCAAAACGAGCTGATGGTTTGCTGGATCTAAGACGAGTAGCAATAATGGGATGGTCATATGGCGGTTATCTGGCGTTGCTTTGTCTGGCCAAATGTCCCGAAGTCTATCGAGCAGCAATTGTTGGTGGTGCGGTAACATGCTGGCAACTTTACGATACGGCTTATACGGAGCGTTATCTCGGTCTTCCGTCAGATCCAGTGTATAAAGATTCTTCGGTTCTGAAGTACATCAATCAGCTGCCCAATGAGTATGTTTTTTCATGCTGTTTTCTCGTAATTGATTTTAGTAATATTGTAAAATTTGCTTATTTCGCAAAAATTTTGTTCATTTGGTAGTAGTTTTAATCACCCATTCATTCAAGCAAAATTGGTAGCTTATGTTAATGCTTAACGCTGTTTTGTCTTAATTGCTTCTAGGAATTATTGTATAATTTGATTAGTTCGTGTAAATTTTATTCATTTGGTACTAGTTTTAGTCACTCACCTATTGAAACAAACTGCTAGCTATATGTGCATGACGGGATTATTGGCATTCCATGTTAGTGATGTTAGTGGAATGCTTCCAGTACGCGAAGCGCGACTATTCCAGACCTTTTGATCCTGAGCTACATAACTCAGGGGTCGGCCGAGTGGTCGCGCATTTTCGCTGATTATCAGCATCGCGAGCAACATGTCTTGCCCATTGAATTTTACTTTACAGACCTGGGTCATAATGTTACCATGCTCGTTTCATGGTCACTGCTATTCTCTTTTTTTTACAGCAACCTTGATACTCCTGTTTTTCACTTCCATACAACAAAGCTGATGACATGCAAGAATTGAAAACTGTCATGTTCGTGAGCGATCTTGCCATTGTAAAAGTATTAATAACTTAGTACTAGAAGTTTTTAGTACTTTTACAATTGTTGCAAAAGGAAGAAGGAGCGAGTAGCAAGGAAGCGAAACCAGGAGACGGGACATTTGCTTATTAT